TCTTATTAATCTTTTCATGCAATGCCACTAATTCGATAATGGGAATTTAGATACCTTAAGAAAGTTATTTGGGTCACATGTTTAGAGTGATATATAATCAACCTTGAGTTCAATTTTGTCTTCAGTAATATTCATTAATCTATATATGAAATGTATAATTTTTTAAAAAAATTTTATTTTCTAATCAGGGAGATTTAGAAGAGATGGTTCAAATCAATTACATGGTCGACATTGAATATTTAATTTCTCAATTGCCGCAATTGAAACGACATTCGTTACATACTACCATTGTTCACGATCTACATGATGAAAGTGCAAAAAATATAAGTGTAATTATAACGACAAATAAAGGCTATGAATTATTCTAATTAGCTAAACCATTGATCACGTTTCTCTTGGATTAGACCGTGGCACTACTTTATCGGAACATAAAGATGATGTCTGTGGGCATGCCTATAACTTACGGTAAGTATGATCTCCTTGTTTGTATATTAAAATTAGTAGTCATTAAATAATTTCAAATTTTCATAAGAACTCATCACATGAAGGTGCATTTCAAGCTTGTAAGATTATTTTGAATAATTAGTGACTAATTACAATTAAACTTAACAGGCAATGTTATTGTTCTTTACGGATGGTATGATGCGTGTTGTAATTCATATAGCAAACATAATTGAAAGAGAATAGTGGTAAGATTCATTTCTCAGTTACGTATACCTGGAATCATTTATAGCTCATCAGTTTTCTTTACACGAATCTTCCTTTTTTTTAGTAACAAATCGCAGGGTATATATATGACACCTATATTATCTAGAAAACGTAACGACTCTTCATCATGTGAATTCAAAACGGACCTTCAAAATTATTTTAAAAGTTACAGTAATAACACCATGAAGAAATACGATGAAAGATTAAAGAATTATGATTTTTCATCTGTAAAGGTAGCATATCTGTCTTACGAATATTTTTTTACCTAGCGAATTTTAGGAAATAATTTCTAATAAAAAATTTACAGGCAGTTTTAATAGCATCTGTTCCAGGTTACCACACAAAGGATAGTCTTTTGAAATAGGGTCACATGCATCTCAGAATATACTGTATATCGTCTTAGAATATACTATATATCGTCTCAAAATATACCAAATGAAAATTTAGCATTTATCTTGGAACAAGTATATACTATAATTTTATTATTATTTATTTACAAATTATAACTTATTTAATAATAATAAAATTATATTGATACCCTCCTACCCTGTATTTATCCTCCTATTTGTGAAAATATTCTATCCTTTCTATTCTATTAGAAATTTACCCTTTATTCTTACTCTTTTTTAGATTCTATTACTCAAAAGATGATATTTGAATACTATATGTATAATGTAATTTATGTTAATAATTTAAGTTATTTAATTAAATAAAATCAGTTGTATACATACCGGTTAATCAAAATTAAGAAAAATATTGAT